CTGTGTTCATCCAGCTCTATACCTTGTTATCTCAGGAACAGTATCCAATTTGTTCTCCCTGACCTGGCCAATTCTTTGCTTAACATTTTAGATGAGCTCTTGAAAAGTGAAACTTTAAGTAATAGATTGTCACACTACAACCAATGTAACAGCTGTAGGACTTTCCTCATTGGGAAAAAAAATTACACAGAAGGCATAGTGGATACTTTTGCCTTTATTAGCCAAGCATAGAGCTTAAAAGCAAGGAGGTTATGTTGGAACTGTAAGATGTTGGTTAGGCCATAATTAGAGTATTCTGTGCAGTTCTGGAATCTACATTGTAGGAGGGATGTGATTGCACTGGAGAGTGTAGAGGAGATTTACCAGGATAATGTCTTGGCTGGAGAGATTCAGTTATGAAGAGAGATTGAATAGATTGGGGTTGTTTTCCTCGGAACAGAGCAGACCTAGAGGGAACGTGATTGAGATGTGTAAAATTACGAGGGGAATAGACAGGGTAAATAGGAAGAAAAGTTTCCCCTTGGTGGAGGGACCAATGATTGGGTACTTCAGTAAGTATAGTGATCAGTACTGAGACCAGACGCAGTCTCATTATTGTCCTGTATAATTGAAGCATAACCTCCCTACCCTTGCATTCAATTCCCTCACAAGGAACCATAACATTCTATTAGCTTTCTGATTACTTGCTTTACTTTCATACTTCTATGATTCATGCACTAGGACACCCAGGACTCTCTACATTTCAGAGCTCTGCAACTTCTCACTATTTAGAAAATTACTTTTTTTTCAGTCTTTGGGCCAAAATGGACAATTTCACACGTTTCCACATTGTATTCCATCTATCAGATCTGTGTCAACTAATTCAACCTGTCCTTATCCCTTTGTAGCCTCCTTATGTCCTCTTCACATCTTATTTTCTGACCTTTCTTTGTGTCATCAATAAATGTAACTCCCAAACCTCCAATTCCTTCATCCAAATCATTCATATAAATTGTAAAGAGCTGAGGCTGCAGCACAGATCGCAGTGGCACACCACTCATGACATCCTGCCAGCCTAAAAAAGACTCATTTACTCCTACTCTCTGCTTCCTGTTAGCAGGTCAATCTTCTATCCATGTCAATATGTTATCCTCCAATACCCCAAACTTTATTTTCTGCAATAAACTTTGATATAGCACCTTATCAAACAATAGGACAATCTACCTGGACCATTGATTATTCCTGTCCGTATTTTTACTGACAACTTTCAGTCTTACATTTTAACTAGAGACTATTCATTATTACCTAATGAAAAGCGTTAGTTGCATCATTTCATCAGCTGACCTACAGAAAAGATTCTCTCCTATACCTTCATGGATGTGAGCATCACTGGCTAGGCCAGTATTTATTGTCTACCTCACACTGCCCTTGGGAAGATGTTAGTGAGCTGCTTTCTTGAAAGAGTGCAGTCCATTGATATGGGTAGCCTGACAGTGCTGTTAGGAACAGAGTTCCAGCATTATCCAGAGACAGTGAAGGATCACTGATATTGTTTGTGGTCACGATGGTGTGTGGTTTGTAGGAAGACTTAGAGGGCCAGGGACAGAGGGAGTGGAGATATAGCAAGGTTCAGTAACCAGGGCTCAGAGCTCTAGGGGACTTGTGCCACAGTGCTAGGGCCAAGGTGAAGCCAAGGCCCCAGGCAGCAACAGTTTTGTCCCTGCCCTACTTACAAAGGTTGGAGAAGAGCATGGGACTCAAATACACTGTCAAAGGAGTCTTAGCGAGTTGCTATACAGCATCTTTTAGATAGAATGCACTGCTGCCACTATATTTATCTGGCTGCTTCAGTTAAGTTTCTAGTCAATGCTAACCCCTAGGATGCTAATGGTATGGGATTTAGTGATGACGATACCTTGAAAGTCAAGGTGAAATAGCTAAATTCTCTCTTACTGGAGACGGACACTGTTTGGCACAAATGTTACCTGCCACCTACCAATTATTTTCTAACATTATCCTCAGCAAGACTTCTTTTCTTCCCCTTCTCTCCTGAGAGTGCCAACCTATCAACCATTTGTTACCATGTCTTTTTTAAGGAACATGCCGGATTAGTAAAGAAGTGTCACTAGGGGAGAGGCTGATAGCAACTGAAGTTGAAACCATCTTCCTGGGAAATGCAAAGGAGTTGTGGAACTTAATTGATTTGAGCAGAAATATAAAAATAAGTTGATTGAAGAAAAGCACTAAATGTAACAATTGCAGAAAAGATGAGACAAGAAAATGTATAAAGCTGCAATGTTTATGACAATTACTTACACAATAGGGACTTATTTTGCAACTCATTAAAAGAAACTGAAACTCATAGGACAGTTTTGAGTCACCATTAGTGAAGACATTTCACATAGATGAGCACAGGAGACAGGAAACTAAGAGGCAATCTCATTTCATTATGTTCCATGCACAAGCTTCCACTTGAGCTGAATTGAATTCTTGTGAGCTCACAGCGAAAATGGGCAGGAGCTTCATTTTAATATAAAACATGGTATTGTTGTAGTTTACTTCAATGTATTCAAGAAAATGTCAAGTGTTCAAGAAACATAAATAGCTTAAATAGTTTAATCATGTGTGATTTATCAAAACAGGGTAGCTAATTAAAATCAGCATCGGAGTTACAATTATTGTTTTGTAATATATTTACCAAAATATGGTGGGCAAGAATCAATTGCCCAAAAATTACAATATAATTTCAATTAAAACTCCAAAAAACAAAGACTTGTAAGAAAATGCAAGCTCCAAGTACACTTACTTTGAAAACATGATCCTGCCATACTTATTCATTATGCGTTCATTGTCCTTGAGGGAAGAGCAGAGGCCAAACTTGGTGGTTAGAACCTTATTGTTTGGGATCTGGTTTAACATCTGTTTACCTTTTAAAATGACAGAAATCAAAGACCCAAATATTATCCAACCTCAATGATATGACACCAATCCTCTAAATTTGTTAATGTATTTGGTTTTTATGTCCACATCTACTTGCCGTAATATTACAGAAATTTCACATAGTATCAACCTAATATACCAATGGCCTTCTGACATACCAGTGTTATTTTTACTAGTAACTCATGTATCAGGTAATCATAGAATCGACATTATTAAAACATTTACTGTCCAGAGCCTATCTACATCATGTTAATTTTGTCCATCACTTCAATTCTCACTGTTACACTCCAAAACCTTTAAATGAAATGTTCATCTTGTGTTTAAATCTCTTCAACCCCGAGGCTCCCGTCTAGAATTCTATCCACAACACTCTCTACCTTTGTTTTCCCCTGATCCTTCTTAGATCCAAATTTTTGTCTCCTTTTCATCATTTTAATAATATTCAACTCTTCTATTCCTCCTGTCAAAGTGCATAACCTCACATTTTCCCTTATTATATACCATCTTTCAAGTCTTCACTTACTCACTCAACCTGTTTATATCCTTCAGTAGATTCTTTATGTCATCCTTACTACTTGCCTTCCCACCTATTTTCGTGTCATCCGCAAATGTGGTGATATTACGTTCATCATCCAAGTCTTTAGCATATTATAAATAATTCCAGCCATAGCACTGGACCCTGTGGTACTCCATTAGTCACAGGTTGCCATTCTGAAAATGCCCCCTTTGTTGAAACACTTTCAAAGAGACATACAGCATAGAAACAGGGCATTCGGCCCACCATGCCTATGTTAACCGACAAACACCAAACTACACTAATCCTATTTACCTGTACTTTCTGTAGCATATTACGCTCAGGCATTTTAAGTGCTCATCCAGATGCGTCTTAAATATTGTGAGAGGACTTGCCTCCTCCAGCCTTTCAGACAGCACATTTCACATTTCTACCACCCTCTAGGTGAAAATTATTTTTCTCATAGCTTCTCTAAATGACTTGCTCCTCACCTTAAACTTACACCCTCTGTCTTCTATTAGTTATTCAATCCTCTATTCATGCTAATATACTACCCTAGACACCATGCTGTCTTACTTTATTAAGTAGCCTTATGTGCAGTTCCTCATTGAAAGTCATTTGGAATACATTACAGCTTTGGTTCCCTTTTATCTATTTTGATTCTTACGTTCTCAAAGAACCCTAATAAATTTGTCAGTAAGCTCTCCCCTTCATGGAGTCATGTTGACTCTGTTTGACCATATTAGCTATTTCTAAATGCTCTGTTAAATCCTTTGTAGTAATTTGGAGTGCCGGTGTTGGACTGGGGTGGACAAAGACAGAAGTCACACGACACCAAGGAATAGTTCAACAGGTTTATTTAAAATCACAAGCTTTCAGAGCACTGCTCCTTCGTCAGGTGAAATGGTGGGAATTCTGTGCCTGTGCACTTCACTTCACCGGACGAAGGAACAATGCTACGAAAGCTTGTGATTTTAAATAAATCCTTCGTAATGACATATTTAAAATTTTCCCAATGACAGATATTAAACTAATTGACCAATAGCTACCTGATTTTGTCTCCCTCCTATTTTGATTAAAAGGGTCACATTAGCAATTTCCCATCTCTCTGGAATTTTTCCAGAATCTAAAGATTCTTAGAAGATTACAACCACTGCAACAGTTATCTCCATAGTTACTTCCTTTAAAATCCTAGATGCAACCCATCAGGTTCCAGGGATTTATCTGCCCTTAGCCCCATTAGTTTCACTAGTACTTTTTTTGTCTAGTGATAATCATTGTGCGTATTTCCTCTAAATGGTTGCCATTGTTCCTCTTTTCAACTGTATTTCCTTCAAAACTCAGTTCCCAGTTGACTCCAGCCAAATCAAACACATACTATTACATTACTGAAGTCCTAAGGCCTTTGTATGGGATGACTTATTTATTTTATAATTATGACAGCTATGGATCTGGGCTACCTTGACAACCCTTTTTACCTTCGTGAAAGGATTGGTGGTTGGACGGTCTGTTAGCATCAGTCCATTTCAATAGGTAGTCTTGTCGGGTATTGTCCAATATTCGATTCCATCCTTTGCTCTCACAGAAGCTGACAATACTGTGTAAAAATGACAAAATGTAGTGTTTCTGTAGCTAACTTTTTAAATAGATAAGAGATTAACCAAAAATCCCATTCTCCTTGTACCCCTTCAAATCCCTCTCTCATCCCCAAGCTCTTTTTTTGTACTACATCCATTCAACTGATAAAAGCTACAAAGTTTTGTGCTATATTATTGATCAAATTTGTCCCACTACTTGGTTCACCCCCTACATAAGACTGAAGATTAAAGTTAATCATGAGCTTTCTGACTTTTGATGCATATGCATGTGGTTTTGCAAAGTTTTTATCATGATTACATTTTCTATATTTAGTTTAAATGTAATCCTTTTACAGGCCTGCAATTGTCTTTTCCACCAGGTAGGCAAACAAGTCAGGTAGAAAGGTAATTGAAACTTATATAATGACACCTTCCTGATATTTAGGAATTAGGCCTGAAAAAGTCGAGAATTCGTTTCTCTAATTTTCTGGCTGAATTTGCGAGAAGTCCATTTGGTTAAAAACATTCTTAAGCTCAAATTAACTTGGATGCTTATCATCTGAAGTGTTCATAGAATCTTAGAATCATACAGTAAGGTAAGAGGCCATTCTGTCAACATTGCCTGTACTAGCGCTCTGAAAGAGCTACCCAATTAGTTTCCTACCTTTATTCGTTCCACACAGCCTTGTAAAGATTTTCCTTTCCTAATGCCCTTTTGATAGTCACTACTGAATTTACTTCCACCCTCTCAATTTTGACATGGAATATGCTTTCTGAAACTTTACCCACTGAAATAACTCCATAAACGCCGCTATCCTGTCACCAGGTCACCCTTTATTTAACGTGGGAAATCCTTGACACTGGTCCAGCTCCCTTAGAGCCAGCTGTCAGAGTGAACAGGATGTCTGACACTCCTGTTTTTGTTGAACCAGATTAACAGCCCCAGTCAGAGAACCTGTATTCTATGAGGTCCACCTGGCTGACATAGTTACAATCACTACACCCAGCATCGATGTACAGCTTACAGTACTGTAATTGCTGGGTTTATCCCTCTCCCCTTTTTTAAAATGGTGTGTAACATTTGCAATATAACAATCCTCTGGCACCAACTCTGTATCTGAGGAAGATTGTAAGATTGCAGACAGAAATTCCACAATTTCCACCAGTGCATCTGTTACAATTCCAGACAAGAACCCCAAGTTTGGTGATGATGCAGTTATGAATCAGTAACTTTTTGTTTAAAGTAAATGAACTGTATCAATTCAACTTCCTTACTAATAGAATAAAGTCACGCGATTCCACAGGTTTGAATAACCAATCGTAAACTTTATTATACCAAGTAAAAAAAGTAAAATAGCTTACAATATCAATCTTATACTCCGAAATCCAAAATTAGCATGAGGTAAATATGAATTAATAAATAAATGGTGATCAAACACTGTACCCTCCAGATTAAATGGCAGATATGATCCAGACCAAAATCATGCATTTGTTAGCAACCCATTCAGACCTCACTAATCACTGCGAGTAAATCAATCTTGTTAATACTCAGTTTTCCACCAGAAGAATTTCTGCTCTTCACGCTCAAGGATTCTACTTCTGAATTCTCTCCAATGCTGCTCTAAAATGGAGTGTCTGAACATCTGTTCGCCACTTGCTGGTTTCATCCATTCTTTTAAGACATGGTTCTAAAACTGATTCACTGGTGAACTTCCAGTACTTCCTGAGCTCCTCAGAGCTTCTCTCAGCCCTACCTACATGCAGCCAGCACACAGATCACCTAACTGCCTGGACCCTCTTCCTGGCTTCTCTGCCAGCGATTTCCTCCCAGTGATCTCTGCTCTTCTGTATCATCATCTCCTCTTCTGTATTCTGGGTTATCGTTCTCTCTCAGGAATCCTGGATACTAACCCATTGCCTGTTCTTCTGGGTCCCTTCTTTGCAGGATCTAAACTGGGCCCCATGACGGCTGGTTCTGACACCAAACCAGAACACTCCTGATGGCCCAAATGGCTGGGCCCTTTTAATATTAAAAGTGAAAAAAAGAGGGGCAATGTTGACTGGAGTTTAGAAGAGTGGAAGGGGATCTCATTGAAAAGCATAAAGTTCTGACAGGGCAGGACAGAGTGGGTTCGAGGATGATGACTCTTCTGACCGGGAGGGATGGGGTGGCAGCTCAAGATACACAGCAGGCCATTTCAAACTGAGATGATGAGAAATTTCTTCACTCAGAGGGTGTTGAATGTGTAGAATTATTTACCACAAAAAGCTGTGGAGGCAATCTCACCGAATATACTTAAGAAAGAAATAGATTTTGAGAAGATAAAGGTATCAAGGGTATGGGATGAGATCTGGAACATAGCACTGAGATAGAGGCTCACTCATGGCCATGTTGAATGGTGGAGCAGGCTCAATGGGCTGAATGACTTGCTCTTGCCTCTATTTTCTATGGATTTGCGTTTCTCATACACTTGGCTGGAAATGCTGCCACATATTGCAGGTACTGTGGATCATAAGCCTCTGTCCTTATCTAAGAACCCATGCAGAGAATCAGGTAAATTACATTCATTGTATTCATATAGTACTTAGGCAAGGGAATCAAAGGTTTTTGGGGACTGATGCAGAAGTGGAATTCAAAAAACAAATATAATAAACAGAAATAATCTATAATTTTATTGAATGACAGAGCAGGCTAAAGGGGTCACATGGTCTACTTCTGCTCCTAATGTGTATCTTCATATTTAACACACCTACAATAACTGAGGGAAGTCTGGGTCCATTAAACTAAGTCAATTAACAACTCTCTATGTTAAATATCATTGTATTTCTTACATATGTTTCAGATGAATGACTTTACATACTGTTTTTCTGCACTTACCCCTCCATGTTACTGAGCAACAGTAATGTCTAATATGAATGGTATTATAGTTTGAGCAACAGGGAAGGAGAAAATTATTTTAGAGGTTGAAAGTTCTCCTATTCATAACAATTGACAGGAACCAACAATTTCTGGTTGACCAGCCAGTTATACCTTCACATTATACAAGTTAGTACATCAAAAAAGTTAATACACTAGTTGCATTTATACAACCTTTCTGCTAAAATACTCAGCACTCATGAAGATATTGCTGATGATGAATAAAAAAATGATTTCAATTTGTGTACCGCTTTTCACAGCATCAGGACATTCCAAGGTTTTCTCCAGCCACTGAACTACTTTTTGTAGGGTAATGTCAGAAATGTGGCAGTTAACTTGTCCAGAACAAGTTCCTACAAATAACAATGTGTTAATAATCAGAAAATCAGTTTGATGGTCCTGGTTAAAGGATAGATTTTGGCCAAGATTGTAGAGGTAACACCTTTGCTTTTCTTCAAAATAGTGTTATTTTGTACATTCACCTCAGAGGTCTGATGAGGCCGGGGTTTAAGGTCTCATCTAAAATGGCTCCCTCCACAGTACAACACTCGCTCAGTGCACCTGTATTGGCATTCTACATCGGTACCACCACAGCAACTTGTTCAATTGACCAGGTATTAGATATGACAGTAAGGATGAAGGTATTTGTGAATTTCTACAAATATGGGACCTCTAGCTTCAAGAAAAGGTGATAATATTCAATTGCATTCTACATATCAAATTTACACCAAGATTATTTGATAAAAACTGTCTCATACTCTAAATCCAATAGTGAACATTACAATAATTCTAGACTTGCTGTTTGAGTTTCAATGAACAAATACAGCATGGGTTTTCGCCATGGCAAAGAGGCTCTCCATTGTGAAAATAGTACACGTGCCCAGAAATCAGAAGCCGTACCTCTGATATAATCTGAAGGCTTCCATTAGTGGACAAGTACTTCGTGACTGATTTCACAACCATCCATTACCACAGTAAAGTACCTGTCATTTTGCAATTTGATTGACAGTTTTAAGTGGTTAAAGATATTTTGAAGTGGGACAATGCATTCCAAAGCTTGCTGTTACAAAAGATTATGCACTTGAATCAAATGCTTATTGCTTTAAGATATTATCTAGTTTGAGTAATATAAATGGTAATTGTTTTGGGTATTTTTCAATATTATGAAATCTGTAATAAACACTGATAACTTTATTTTCATCTCTGCATGAGTCCTGAGGTCTCACCATATTGAATACTGTGTGAGTGGGCATGGTAATTGTCAGAGTAAAGGGTGGGGACAGCAGACATAGACTGACAAGAGTTGGCACCAAGGTGTCATGGAGCTAAAAAAGGACCACAGAGAGTTGAGCAGTTGATATGGGATATTAGAGAGAATAGGATGGCATAGATGAGTCACAGGGACTATGTATGAGGGTGTGGGATGTGAAGGGTGGAGAGATGTTAATTATTTTATTGCTTCTTTTAAAGTGGGGAGGTGATGGCCTGGTGGTATAATCACTGAACTGTTAATCCAGAGACCCAGATAACGGTCTGGGGAACTGGGTTTGAATCCTGCCACGGCAGATGGTGGAATTTGAATTCAACAAAAATATCTGGAATTAAGGATCTAATGATGACCAAGAATCCATCGCTGATTGTTGTAAAAAAAACCATCAGTTCACTGATGTCCTTTAGGAAAGGAAGCTGCCATCCTTACCCGGTCCGGCCTATATGTGACTCCAGACTCAGAGCAATGTGGTTGATTCTGAACTGCCCTCTGGGCAATTAGGGATGGACAATAAATACTGCCTGGCCAGTGATGCCCTCATCCCGTTAATGAATAAAAAAAACTTGAAAACTGTACTATCTGCACCACCTGCCTCTTCATTCAGCAACCACCAACATTCATTCTGACCTCTTTTGGTCTGACTCGCAATTTTTGAGCCACTTATTCCAGGGTCAAGTTCACGGAGCTGGGAAATGTCTCAACTCTGTGCATCTGTGGCAAAAATTCAGGCCTTAAATATGTTCATATATTTATTCTGTTCCTTTGATGATTAGAATTGTTGTCATATAAGAACATTTACTCAAGCATGTCATCTATAACATGGGGAATATCCAGCCTACCTTGTGAGAAGTGTGCTTCAGGGAGAGAGATGAACTGCTAGAGATATGGAGCTTGACCTTGTTATAATATTAATGAAAATTCTGGTCCATATACTAAGCCCACTTAACCTGCGTCGATGTGGAGGTGCTGGTGTTGGGTTGGGATGGATGAGATCAGAAACCACACAACATCAGGTTAGAGTCCAACAGGTTTATTTGAAATCACAAGCTTTCCGAGTCTTACTCCTTCTTCAGGTGTTAGTGAGAGAGGAAGAAGGAGTAAGACTCGGAAAGCTTGTGTTTTCAAATAAACCTGTTGGACTATAACCTGGTGTCGTGTAATTTCTGACCTTAAACTACGTTGGCATATGAGGACAAAACTGGATTCTACTCAAGTTACAGACATACGATCCAGCCTATTATAAAATAAATGTACTATAGAGGTTGGTTTGTTAAAAGAAAGTTAAAAAGTTGAAATCAGATGAACTGATATCTATTGAACAACATCTATTGTAGTCAATCCACTCATCAATCCAGGGTTTGTTGATCTGTGTTTCAACGTATAATAAAACTCTATTTTGATACATACAGTGCAACTCCATTCGTGCCTCCAATGTAGTAGAAAGGGCCTTGTTCTTTACTCTCGTCTTGTTTCTTGCCATTAATCGACTTGTCTCCTGTTTTCTGATTAGCACTGCCAGTTCGCTTTCCACTTTCTGATGCCTCCGACTGTGTATTGGAAGGCCCTAATGTTTACCAGGAGGCAATTCAGAGAAATGAAGAGTAAAAGGTAAGTTACAAAGTTAGTAGGACCACTTTAATAATGAATTTCCATAATTTTTCACTCGTTAGTGCCTTTTGCAATATTTGCCCAAATCGTCCTTAAGCAATGGACCACATACTTGATCACAACAAATGAGCAGGGAGGGCATGGGCAGCCTACTGGCAGGAACATGAAGCTCTGTCGATTTCAACAATGCAGTAATGTGAGTCTTAGAAGGGAATGTTGATTTGTTTTATTAAACATAAGTATTCACAAGACATGGAAAGAGAGGACATAACTGTTGAAGCCTTACAGACTTTAAATCCTCATGAAGATCCCACCTTCTTGACCTCACCCCTTATCTCAGGCGTGGTGACCATCAGGTTAAATCACCATTGGTTGCCCCTCTCTAATGTGAAAGCAGCCCTATGGTTCTGTGGGATTAAAGTGACTATCACAGACTTGGGCTCCAGTTCCACACTATCTGATGTCACTACTACCTAGTGCTTTTTGCATGGTCAGTAGCTGTTCTTGGACTAATGGTATAATTAACTCTCTACTGTACAAATGACAGGGTCTCAGTTAAATAACATTCACTGACTCATCTCTGACATCCAAGCAGAGTGACTGCCTGCCGAGCAAGTGTGAAAGGACACCACAACAACAACATATATTTATATAGTGTCTTTAACGTAATAAATCATTCCCAAGACACAGCTGGGGACCTTTGGAAATAGTCCTCTGCACTCAGTGGGAAAAGGGCTCTGCAGCAGATCAGGGATTGGGAATTCCTGCCAACCTGGGCAACTGCAGATTCCTTGGGTAATCTGGCTAGGGAGTATTTTCAGCCCAGCTTCCCCTGAACAGAGAGGAGTTCTGAAAAAAAACTTAATACCAGAAGCAAATGCTGCATTCTGAAACGAACTCCCCACCCTACAGTTGAAAGATTAATCTTGGTGCAAATAACTGTTTTCAGAGTCTGAAGTAACTATTTCTCTTGGTTACTGTCCAGTTTTGTCAATCATAAGGAAATATGAGCAGGAACAAGCCATTCAGTCCTTCAAACATGTTAGTCAATTTAATTAGGTTATGGCTGACCTGCACCTTACCTCCTTAATTAAAACCCCTTTGTGGGCTTTTTCTTTGTATATTGTACTGGTCCTAAAAGTTATCACATTTAATGGTCTAGATGAGGGAGTTAAGTGTAATATCTCCATCTTTACAGATGACAGAGCTGGTTGGGAGAGCGAACTGTCAGGAGGATGCAGAGGTGCTTCACTATGATTTGAACAAGTTGAATCAGCAGTTAAATACATGGCAGATTGAATATAATGTGGATGAACGTGAAGTTATCCACTTTTGTGGCCAAAACAGGATGGCAGATTATTATCTGAATGGCGATAGATTGGGAAGGGAGAGGCACAACGAAGCTGGGTGTCTGTGCTCAACGCTTGCTGAACGTAAGCAGGCAGGTGCAGCAAGCAGTGAAGAAGGCAAATGGTGTGTTAGCCTTCAGAGTGAGAGCATTTGGGTACAGGATGAGTTGCTGCAACTGAACAGGGCCTTCCTTGTTGAGACCGTACCTGATATATTGCGTGCAGTTTTTTTCGTCTCCTTATCAGAGGAAAGATGTTCTGGTTATGGAGGGAGTGCAATGAAGCTTTACCAACTGATTCCTGGGATGACAGTACCGATGCGTGGAGAGAGATAGAATTAGTCAGGATTGTATTCGCTGGAGTTTAGAAGAATGAGGGCAATCTCATAGAAACCTATAAATTTCTAACAGGATAGACAGTGTAAACACAGGAATAACGTTCCCAATGATTTGGGAATCCAGAATCAGAGGTCACAGTCTAAGGATACAAGATAAGCCAATTAGGACTGAGATGAGGAGAAATTTCTTCACTTAGAGAGTGGTGATCGAGTGGAATTCTCCGTCACAGAAAGCAGATAAAGCCAAAACATCTAGTGTTTACAAGAAGGAGTTAGAGATAGATCTTAAGGTTAAAGGGATCAAAGGATGTGGGAGAAAGTAGGAACAGAGTATTGAGTTGGATGATCAGCCATGATCCTTTTGAATGGTGGAGCAGGCTCAAAGAGCCAAATAGCCTACTCCTGTTCTTATTTTCTACAGACACCCTGATAATAATAATAGTTCATGGACGAACACTTGGCTTCTCAACTGTCAGATTGTAATAGGGCTGGTTCTAACCTGATTTGATATGAGCATTCAAATTAGGAGCAGTAATGGCCTCTCAACCCCTACAGCATGCACTGTCATTTAATAAGATCATGGCTGATCCAACTACATCATATTCCCGCCTACTCATGCTGACCTTTGAGATCTTGCTTATCAAGAAACTACTTACCTCTGCGTTAGCTCAGGGGTCATGCAATCTATTTCCCTCAAACCACGGAAATTGTAATCCTTGGAAAAGTGCTGTGTGTTTCTTACAGGTATTTTGAAAGGGCTCCAATCAGAAGCTACTGTTCCAAATAACATCTTTCTTACTGCCAGCATTTACCAACTAACCACTAGTCATCCCACCACCTCCGACTCTACACCAAATCATGAGAGTTTGTTTCCTTAAATGATAGAAGTTACCCAAACAAACAAGCTTGTTTCCACAGCATTGCCAGAAAAGCTAAATAGACAGAGCCACAACAAAGCAAACTCAAGGACGCGCAACGTGTCAAAAATGGATATCAGCCTAAATTTTGGGGCCTAATGAAAGAAACAGGAGCAGCAATACATTAAAATCAATGAGCCTAGCTCAAAGGTCACAGCAGCTGTTATTATAAAATAACAATAAAATCAAAGGGGCCCTACTGAAGTCAAAAGCCATGACTGTGTAGATTTCAGTGTTTAAACAGTCATTGGAAGTCCCAGATGGAATTCCTAAAAATACTTTTCAGGGATTTACTATTTCAAGTAATGGGCACCTTCAGTGATTTTATTCCATTGAAGAAATGCTGCCAAAATCTATGAAGCTCACACAGTTTGAATAAACCATCAGATCACACTTTTGGAGTCTGCTGACTAGTCACAAAACATGCCTGAAGACATCGGCTAGGGTAACAAAATTCCCTTCCTTACCCTAAAGAAGAGTAAGTAAAGAAAAGCAACAGGATATATGTTTGAATGCGTGAAATATTCTTATACATTTAATTAGTTTACCTGTTTAAAGAAATGAGAGGTCTAATTATATAGTGCCTTTCATGTCTTCAGTGCATTACAAGGCCAATGAAGATCTTTTGAAGTGTAGTCAGTATTATACTGTTTTTATCATCAATAGTATATTACTCATTCTAAAACAAAATCCAAAACAAGTATTTAACGGTGATTCAGACAGAAGATATTTGTTGGATATCAACAGCTGTGATGGTGAATGTAGGTTGCAGCAGTAGGGAGATCCCCAGTCATTGAGGTTTCTTTGACGCTGGAAGTGGATCTACCTTTTGTCAAGGACCGTGTCTCTCATGATGTGTGACATTAACATATAACCCACACAAGGCAGCTCCTGGAGGAGTTATACCACCACACTCGCAAAATCAGTGATGGTCAATTATACTCATTAGTGAGTGATTGCCAACAATTACAGTTTCATATGGAATTTTTTCATGTGTATGGTGAAAACACAGGGTCAAAGAAGGATTAAAAGAAAGTAGCTTAAAATTGCACAAATGATGCATGTATGATTACTTCTGTGGTACATTTTCAAAGACTCCACCTTTTTATAAAAAGTCTAACTTGCAAAGCACTGTTTCAAACTTCAGAGCAGCCCTATACTTGATCCATACATAAAGTGTGTCTAAAATAATGTGTGACTAAATTCTTTTAAAAGACTTCAGCAAAATGAAATTGTATTCACATCAATTGCTACACAACAGTAAATACTACACTTTTTGATGATGAGAAGCACCTTAATAGCAGCTATTATGTGTGAAATACTCACAAAGCTCCAATTCACTACACAACAGAAATATAGAAACATGGAAAACAGGAGCATGAATAGGCCATTCAGCCCATTGAATGTGATCTGCCATTCAATACAATGCTGTTACAATAATGTAATGGGATCTCCAGCAGCAGGTGACGATGGTGGTAGGGGGCACTGAGCAAGGGAGCTGAGCAGTTTGCCAGGACCTCCACCAGCAGGTGGTGACAGTGAGGGAGAGCAGCTGGAGCAGCCGTTTGGACTTTCACTGGAAAAAATATGGTTTTTCATGGAAGGAGGGATGATGGGAAGGAGGGGAGCAGATAAACAAAGGATTCCACATCCCAGTAACCCGTAGACTCTGTTCCATCTGCACACTGGAAATTGTTCTTTGTCATTCCTTAATTTCCCTTCCTGTTTGATGCCAATGAAATAAAGAATCCATGCGTCATGATATTTGTACCTTCTGTAGGTATTCAAATCTCATGTCACAATAAGCATGAAATGATAAAGACCACTCAGCCCATCAAACCACCTAGGCGCCATCCTTACTCGTACACATTTACCTTCTTTTGCACCTTCGCATAGAAGGCCTATAAACTCCAGAATGTGGCAGTTACTGCTGTAAAGGTTATGCATTTTGGTAGGAAGAATAGAGGCATATGTTATTTTCTAAACAGGGAAAGGCTTCAGAAATCTGAAGCACAAAGGGTTTTAAAAGTTGTAGTTCAGGATCCTCTTCAAGTGGACGTGCAGGTTCAGTTAGCAGTTAGGAAGGTAAGTGCAATGTTAGCATTCAGTTCAATTGGGTTAGAATACAACAGCAGGGATGTACTGCTGAAGCTGTTTAAGGCTTTGGTCAGACCAATATTGTGAGCAATGTTGGGCCCCATACAGAGGAAGTGGTACAGGCAGGTACAATTACAACATTTAAAAGACATTTGGTACATGAATACAGAAGATTTAGAGGGATATGTGCCAAACATGGGCAAGTAGGATTAGTTCAGTTTAGGAATACTAGTCGGCATGAATGAGTTGTGCCGAA